CAAGAAGAAGAGGGGGAAACATGCAGGAGGCTCCATGAGCGCACAGATACAGACATAGAGACAGATAGGGACGAGCTGGAAAGACATGGCCCTCTGTGGGCCAAGAGTAGCACGTATGTCTTATTGTTGTTTTTATTTTAAGTGGAGCCATGAAAAATGAGAATTGCCTCAGGAATGCAAGCTTTGTTTCTATGAGCATGGTCAAATGGAGACCACATCCATGAAACTAGTCAAGATGACCCTACAGCCCGTGCCGACTGGAGTCAATGAGGTACTTTTCCCAGTACATTAGCCGCGTTCACACCGGAGTACTTTTCACCGTACTTTTCGCGTTTAGTTCCGTTAGTACCCCTTATGTCTGGGACTCCCAGCAGCTTCTACTGAAGCCAGTCCCCAACTCCGGGGACTTCCGGCCGGGGACTCCGGGTGGCAGTATACGCCGTGAAGTTGTTTGCGGCCTGCCAGTAAACCCAAAGCAGAAGAAGACGAAGTGACGTCAGCGGCTCATTTGCGTAATCTTCCCTCAGGGAAAAGTACTCCGGTGTGAACGCGATCTGTACTAAGTGCCCTGGGGTAATAAGTGCCGGGGCACTGAGTGCCAGCACTAAGTACGGCAAAGTACTTGGTGTGAACGCGGCTATTGACTACAAAGTCTTTGAAGATCTAGAAAGACTCCAAAAACCAAACTAGTTTTTTAGTGACCAAATAAACAGCAATGTTCAGATCAATTACTTATTTATGTTTTAAATAAAGGTGAATGTATTCTTGTATTAATCACTGCATAACCATAATACGTTATATAGTCTATCTGTTCATTTTGGCTGTCTTTTCAAACTAAAATGGTCCCGACGTCCTCTACAGTGAACATACTGTAACATTTAAAAATTAAATTAAATTAAAAAAGTCTAAATTGCAAGATGTTTTTTTAACCCTAAATAGGTAGGAAATCACAAAAAAAAGGAAATTGGAAGAGACTCATTTTCCTCCGGTCCCAGGAGGATATACACCTTTGGCTGAATAATGCAGGCTAAATATTTGTTTAGCCTGCATTAACACTGTTGGACAGCAGTTTGTTGGTCAACAAATCCCCATCATCAATCTCAATTTTCTTAACTTTCCAGAATCTCAAGGATAGTTGTAAATAACAAGACATTAGATTCATGTATTGCCCATTTGCTCACATGGTGTATGTAATAAATTAAGCTGGAATCATATTATATTCTGTTATGAAAGATTTACGATCTGATATAATCTGATGACTATATTTATCCCCTGCGCAATGAGTGGAAGAAATTAAGTAAACACATATTTGTAAACATGAGATGAATCCTCTCTACATCTAGAAACTGGTTCACTATCAGAATAATGAGTTGCAGTTTATTAAGGCTTATATTTGTGCTAGAGGTGACCACAATTTAACATCTCTCCCTCTCCTTGTATCCTTATACGTCATTCTCATAGCATTTCAATTTGCACTGCAGCAGGTACGACAACACACAGGCACTTAGCCCAGATAAAGGGCTTCCAGCAGCTCTCTTCCCCTGCAGTGTCCCATTTTATACACTTCCTCTGATGTCATGCAGCAGCACTTCATAATAAACTACTGCAACAATGACTTCACAATATTACAGCACTGGGTCAGTTTCAGAAAGTCCATCAAAATAGCTCTTTATGACATTTCAAATCTCATAAATAAGGGATAGACAACGTATAGTACATTATAACTCTTACTCACCGGTATTAACTTTTATGAATGAAATGATGGAAGAGTTACAGCTATATATATATATATTACTATAGTTTCATCTGTTTGGGGGATTTTAAAACTCCATTGTGACTGATTTTATTTCTGTTAACTTAAAAGCTTCACAGTCCTTCAGAGAGGACAAGAAGACCTAATTTACAGAGCAGTCACAAGACCCAAAACACACACACACCCCCACACACACACCCCCACACACTCAACCACACACTCTCTCACACACATGAGAATGGGCCGACAGAGGGAAGAGGCTTGAGCTCTAAAAACCTTGACAGAAGTTTATATCCCGTCCATTTAATTAGCTATGTCTCTTCAGGGTTAATTAACAGTTTAACTCATTCATTACCAAACAGAGGAGGAGAGTTAATTACATTCCTAAACAGCCTCAAGACACTTCCCTGTTAAGAAAGCAGATGGGGGGGGGCCCTGCCTAATTCTGCATTAAAACAATCAAACAATTATGTGAGGTGATCATATTCAGGGGGGGAGCCTTCATTCCAATCAAACTAGCAATGCTGAAAATAAAGTGGGTCTTTGTGGGCCATGGCCTACTGTGTTTTCTAAATGTGATAACGCTCTTGCTACACAACATGTTAAAAAGGCACAGCAAATTATTGTGAAAACTGGAAATTCTACCCTTAAAATAATGAATAAAGCTGGACTCAATTACATAGCAAGGTTGAACAAATAATGCAAGATACTGAGGCCTTGACTTTTAGTGTTTTCAAGATTGCATTGTTATTAATTCTTGAAATGACTGGTGCAGCTGCCTGCTGTAAAGATAGAAAAGTACAGCACAGTGTTTGATATGTGTGCAAGGGTTATTTCCTCCCCTGAAACCTATAGTGATACAAAATGTCTGCATACTATTTTCTTTTGGATTATCTCTACTCCTGCATTGACACCCACAACTCTAACACTCCTGCAGCTCACTCTGTGCTCAAAAAAGAAAAAGCACAGTGTGTATTTTCGACCTGTTCTCTCAAATGTTCTACAGGATATGTTAAGATAAACTGTTGTAGTTAAGGTAACCTAAGTTAGTTGTGGTTAAGTTTAAGTTACAATAAGTTCAAAAAGTGTACATTTGATTATTAGTAAGGAGCATCTAATATCTAATGAGGAAAAAACGTCCAGACATCAATCTTCTTTAAAAGAAAATATCAAACCAGATGTGAGTCTCTGGGTGACAGTTGTTGATGTCCCGAGGATTGAGCTTACTTAACGTGTTGGTCTTCTTAATAAACTTGCAAACACACACGGGACATTCACCAAAGAGACTGCAGGTTGGGTCCAGTGTTAACACAAAAACAGTTTTTTTTACATTACATTATGTAACCAAAATCTTTTCTTAACCTTACCAGTAGTTTTGCTTTAATCCACAAAATAACTGGACTGTATGAAGCTGGGCTAACCACTACCGATTGCCTTGTAAACTGACAAGACAAAAATAGGTTTGGAAAAGTCACTAAGCAAACTATTAACCAAATGTTTTGTTTTTATGTGGGTGAAATGTAGAACCTTCATTAACATATCCCTTCAGAACAATACAATTCTAAGGTCCCACTTTTGCCCTTGGGTGTGTGTCTCGAACATGTGCGTGTGTGTGTGTGTGTGTGTGCTTATTTCCATGAGTAGCTGCTTCACTAATCTAATTTGCATCTCTTCACAGTAACACAAAACATCCTTTTCATGACGAGGACATAAAACATAGCGTGGCTGCGGCAGGCAAATCAGCTGATCCCGCACTGTGTGTTGAGATGTGTGTGTGTGTGTGTGTGTGTGTGTGTGTGTGTGTGTGTGTGTGTGTGTGTGTGTGTGTATCTACAGGAGAGAAGAGGAATCACCCTCACATACAAACTTCCTTCCTCATGGTTATAACACTTGGCAAAACAAAAGAGTGGGTTACAGGAAGGAGATTTACACCAGGAAAGTGTGTGTGTGTTTGCATGCGGGTGGGAGGATGGTTAGGGTTGGTTTGTCAAAAGTTTGGTATCCAGAGAGCGCTGATGAGGTGATAAGAAATGAAATATCTGTGTGTGTTGAGCTATCATTGTTGCCTTCATCATCAGCAATACGAACAATATGACTCTGGATGCTACTGTAGGGAAACTACTGTAGCAACATCAGCTCATCTGTATGCATCCTCATCACGAGACAGACACAGACACCATCGGAACAATCTGCTGTGTGAAGCATTCATAGTCTGAGTTTAGAGATTAGGTGTAAAAAGCAGTTCCACAGCGCCCCCTGGAGGACAGAACAGGAACACTGTGTGTGTGCTTGTACAGGTGATAAATGTCTCCTTTAAAATGTATCAAACTGGTATTTTACGCTGGATATTCAGATTAAAAAATGCCCAGAAACGTAATAATAATGTAATTTAAGCTTTTAGTCTTTATAAAAGGTGGTAGAAACAACAAAGCCAACTTTAGTTTTCAAGTACATTTCTAAAACATTAGTCTAAAAATAAAAGAAAGATTTGCTTCAATGGAGAAATCATCCACATGCTCACACAGACGGATTGAGAGATCATCTACTTATAGCTATTCCTCAATAGATACCACATACGTGATGACTATTTAACAACACGTTTTTTAAGGACTTCTTCTTTCAGCAGCAAGACAGGTTTCACTAATACTGTAATGCCCACATCTCACCAATAGAGGTCGATACAGATCATATTACTTGAATCTGACAAAAGGAAATAAATGTTTCTTCTTCAGTCTGACTAAAGCCTGATAAAAAGTTATCATACTATGGGAGTGGTTGAATTTCCCATTTTTGAATTTCACGACATTTTAGGAGTAGCTGAACAACAGGACACATACTGAAGCTGGACTTTCTCCAACTACCCTAATGTATGACTAAAATCTGTCCAATCTGGCCACTTGTACTTTAACTCATTTATGTATTAGTTAATTTGTGTGGAATTCAAGAGAGGGAAATGTGTGCATATAAATCGTTTTTGAGTCTCTGCTTTGGGAACATGCTAATCCTGAACCAGAATAAAAAGAATCAAACTAAACAAGTGTAATTCCTTCATTCTTGAATTTCATTTATATATTTTACCTTGTACTTCTCTATTTTTATGATGTCCTTTGAGAGAGACGTTTTTCCTCTTACACCAGAGCAATGAGAGGTTATCCTTATCGTTGCACACCAAGTCATAAACTTAGATAGAGCAACAGGAGAGGGTAAAGGTCAGAGTTTTTTTGGACTTCAGGTTGGTCCTTCCTACCTTTCCCCGAGCCGAAGAAGCAGTCCATCTCCACGCTGGAGCGCGAGTGGGACACACAGAGCGCGGAGCTGGGAACCAGACCCTCCTGGGGGGGGCTGCGCTCGGTGGTCCGCACCAAACACCAACCGGGCCGCTCGCTCGGCCGCTCCAACAGCTCCACCGTCTGGCCTGGAGAGAGAGGAGCAGACGGATGTTTAACGGAGAATCAGAATACTTCAATTACCCTGGGAATAAATTAGGTTGCTTCATTTTTATAAAGAATACAAAATACAAAGAAACCATACAAAACATATATTTACATTAACAAGAGAAGTTCAAGTAAAATGTGAATTAAAAGATACATAAAAAATGAACATAGGAAGTTAACTAAAATGTTCAATACAAATATTAAATGAAACAGAATAAAATAATGTACATCAACATAAGAAGTTTAGTTAAAATGAGCAAATTGTACTGCAATATGTAACAAAAATAAATGTGTACAAATGTGCATATTACAATTTATACAGTGGTGTTTAAATATGAATAACTCTAAATTCATGATGGAAAATAAAATCATTGCAAGAATGGAATGATTCACAAAGAAAATTAAACATAAACCCGAACTAAACCGAATAACCTCCATTACATTTCAGCAGGCATACACTAGCCCAATCTTCCTACAATATTTGAATTCATTTTCTAAACTAAACATTGAATGAACAGGCAGATCCAAAATATATGTGTGGACAGGACAGGCAGCTTCCTCTCACCGGTGCTGACGGACATCTCCGTGCTGCATCCTGCTGTGAAGTCCTGGAGGACGACCGTCAGCTCGCAGCCGCCAGAGAGCTGCAAACAGAGGAGACATTAGGTTAGACAATTCAACTCTCAAAACATGAGAAGTGTAACAGTTATTTCAAACTATTTCCTGTTTGTGGCGAAAAATCAATCTAAATATTCCTTTTCAGAGTTTTTTTAATCCAGCCTTATTTTATATGTTTTATCCACCTGATAGTAAAGAAAGAGAAACTTCATCCATCAGTGTTTGCACGATTAACACCGAATATTTTCATACTAAAAAAGCAGAAATTACATATCTCTGCAGGAGAACCGAATGAACCAGCAGCATGTAAACATTAACTGTTTTAAAACAAACAATGGCCAGTGCACACAGAGGAAGAGCGGAGCATCAATTAGTTTTAAAACCAACCATGGACAAAAGATTGGTGTGTGTTTTGACACTCTCTGATGCCACACAGACTTCCACGTTATGTCAACATGAACCACTTTCTGACCTGACCTAGGACTAAAATGTAATCTGGGAGATCAGTATTTCTGTTGTTTAGAACAGATGTGTTGAATATCAAATATGCAGTACATTGCAAATTCACCATTCCTTTAACAGCACTGTGCACTTGTCATGTTACTTTGATTTATTATCTATGCATGAACAAATAAGCAACCATAAAAAGAGCATATTACTCATTAACACTATATAACTCATTGATCAGAGCTGTATGTTTAAAACACAAACAGTACTCATACTCAGAGACTTGGAGGTTTCAGAGTAATCATCTCAAACAGCAGTTGTAAATATTATCCGCTGGACAGTTTCCAGAGCTAATGATTGACAGAAAATGAAACAAACTGAACAGTTTCACGGTCCAAAATGTGGACTGGACTGTCTAAACGCCTTCATAAAAACTTTAACTATTAAGAATGAATTCCCATTCACACGCACTTCATAGTGATATACTGTAGGTGACGTCACACTGCTAAGGTGTGTTGCCCTTTGTTCCTATTAAGTTGAAACACAATCAAATGTAACAGTAAAGCATCACACATAGATATGTTCGGCACAAATGGGACTCGAGATATAAAGTATAGAAAAACTTCAGCAGAATTCACTGAACTGTTGCAGAGGTAATGTGTGTGTTAAACAAACAGCTCACTGATAAAGCCTCTGGCACCACCTGTGTACTGTAGAAACACGGTGAGCTGTTGGCTGGGTGTAGCGCACTGTGGAGTGTATTAACCAGCACAGCCAGACATAACAGCACATCACCTGAATCTGTCACATCTTATTTTGTTTTGGTTGACCCTCACTGACCGCTCGCTCACCTACAGGCAGCAGAGAAACTGGGAACACATCAAACTGAGCTGCTGTTTGGTCTAAAACCTCACCTCGCTATCTTCAGACTTATCAGAAAAGCTGCACCTGCACTTCAATTTGATCCAGTTCAACAGCAGGTGCACATAAGGACAAAAGCAATAGTGGATGTCTGACTTGATCCTATAAAATAAATCAAATCATTAAAGTCAGTCGTAGTAGTTGCTATACATGTAGTATTACGGCAGTAAATGAACACTATAGTTAAGGGGCTTCTCCTTTGTTACACTTTGTTGTTTTGATCTCTTTCTGTGGGGGTATTGTCTATCTGAGTCTAAAGCACAGAGGGTGTCATAAGCTGCACAGATTATAAAACCCCTTGAGGCAAATTAGTGATTGATGTTGGTCTGTATAAATACAATTGACCTTCCTGAACATTGAATGTAAAATCCATGTATAATGACACAAAAGTGGTTTCAGGATGTACATTGTGATTTCCTTTTCTCCCCCGTCTGCTCTACTCTAATTGTCTTGGTAAATGTCAGGGAGAGAGCGAGTGTGTAAGCAGTCTTTACCAGGCTAAAGATCTCCTAGCAACAAGGACCCCTGTTTCTATATAAGGTGGAGGTGAGTTTATACCTGACAGATGGCCACACACACACACACACACACACGCACACACAGCGCTTCAGAGGCCGTGTGTTGTCACTTATTCTGCCTGATTAGACCTCCACTCGGGTAGAAGGCAGAGCTATAATGGGAATCACGACGTCACCAAACTTTGCGTACTAATAATAATTTAATCCGCTCCATTTGGTGGTGTCAGGGTGACACTGGTAGTAACAAGGGTGTGAAAATCAAATTCAATTGAGTGCAGGATTCATAAGAGGAAACAAGCTTGACATTAATACTAGAAGCTGATCGAACAACAGCAGGTAGTTGAGACTCCACGATGATCTTTTTTCAAGTTTTCAACCGGGCTCAATGTTACCAGGTTATCTTGCATGTAAATTAACAGCTTAACTAGACATTTTCATTTGATAAATAAAGTATATTGGATATCATGCCCCTCAGTGGTCTCCTTTACGGTTTTTACATCCAGATAGACCAATTCATTTATCAACATTGAAGAAAAATAAGCGAAAAGGGTAAGACCTACAAGGATTTCAGCCAGCAGTGCGAATGAACCAAATAATAAAACAACCTCTATCCACTGTCAGTACCACTCTCAACTGACGGTCATGTGTGTGTTAGTGTGTGTTCTTGGGTGTGTCTTTTGCTCTACTTGTGTCTGTCATAAGACCATGTCTGTTCACTGAAAACAAACGTAATGCACGCAGCAGCTTGTGATGGTGTTACGGACCGTCCACACAGCAGCGTTAAAAAAAAATCTTGAAACGCTTCTGCCCATTCAATTTGAATGGGGTGACGTCACTTTCCCTCACTTTTCGCCGAACTGCATTGTGGGCAGGCGAGCGGAGATTTTCAGGATTTTCAGGATTCAAAGTTGAACAATGTTCAACTTTTGAGGCTGAGGTGGAAGCGTCAGCCAATCAAATCCCGTGTATGCAAATCTGACAGTTCAAGCGCTAGCCAATCAAACGGCGTGTATGCTGGGAGAGACATACCGCAGGTCATTTCCTCATATTCCAAAAAATGGAGGAGAAATTAGCGGTATGGGATCACCCGGTGCTTTATGACCAGTCCCTATTTACCTACCGGGATATAAACCGGAGGAGCCAGGCATGGAGGGAGGTGGCAGAGACAGTGGTATGTTTTCGCCTGTTTGGGGAGTTTATATCCAGTTTACTTCAAACTTTTTGCTTCGTATGTCGGGGGCGGGAGATTCATGTGATTGGTTGTTGGTGCCTTGCTCGCAAAAAATCCCCTAGCTTCAGATACGCCCACCTCCAAGATTTTTTTAACGCTGCTGTGTGGACGGTCCGTTACAGCAGAGGAAGACACACGCTCTATCTCTTTCAGCAGCAGAACAAATTGAACGTGTCGACATCAGAAAACTAAAAGTCATAAGTCATTATCCAGAGAAAGATTAACAAAAAGTTTCCAGCAACAGAAGGAACAGCGGGGGTATTGAAAAATGAGTCATGGTTTTAATTGGTTGGATTTCGTTCGCACTTAGAAGTGCAGCGTGACGTCACCGCTGAAGATGTTTTCCAGAAACTCTCGTCTTCATTTCATGGGGTCATTATGTTTAAAGGTTAAGAAAATAGAAAGTGAGTAAACTTGATCTGTAGGTAATTAATAATCAATGAGCAGCTATTTTTCCTTGCGTTTTTTTACAACAGCGTTTTCAAATTCATTCATGCCCCACCTTTAAAATATTGATGAAATAGGAATAGGAAAGTGGTTAAAGAGCAGATGGAAGTGCTTGTTATTAAACAAGACAGTATCATAATTGAATATTGAATACATATTAGCCTGTGAAGTGGGCTTAAGAGACTACAAGTCTATTTAGAAATCTGCCAATTGTACAGGCATACTGTCTCAGACATACTGGCTTCTGTTTTCCAGGGATGGAAACTGCTAAAGCAAACCAGAGTGACAGCGCATGTTGCTTTCGTGGACATATGTAGGGTAAGGTAAGGGACCACCAACCCCGTCTCCAAGGAATTACTGTCATATGAAACTCATTTGCAATACTTACATTCACTGGCAACATGGTTTTCCAGTGAAAGTGTCATATTCTTATACCACAGCCCCAGACTTCAACATTAAAGAACTGAGGATCATGTTCCGTCTTCCAAGTCAGATTTGACCTTTTTCACTATTCAAAGACCACCAGGATCTTTCCCTCAACTTAAAGTGTTTTGAATCACCCAAAGACGACCATAAAAACATGCTTCACTTTCCATAAGCAAATATTGGAAGGATAACCCATGAACAACTAACATTCACACTTTGTGAGATAATTAAGAAACATCATCCGGATAGATTTGGCTAAGGCTAATGCGTCATACATAAAAGACACAACCATTCAGTCTTTAGGCTCAACATACTTTGTTCTGCACAATACATACCTATATTTTAGGTCTGTAGACTAGTAAATACATATATCTAATATAAAGGATATCTCTGCAAAATATAAAAAGGTGTGTTTGTGTTTCAGAGGGAATCAAATATGGGTACTAAAACAGTGATGGCAGAACTGAATGCAGCACCCTGGAGATGAACTCATGGAAAAACACCTCCTGTCCCAAGTCTGAACAGTGGGTACTTATTGTACCTACTGTATGTCAGGAAAACTTCTCTCAGTGCAGAATTGTTCATTGGTTAAGAATGTGGTCTTAAATATTAGTTATTTTCTATACGGACACAATGTTTTGTTGCTGTTTGGAGGGCAGGGTCTCTTTTTGAGGCCCCTGCAGCTATTCATTTCTACACAAAAAAGGGAATTAATTCGAAGAAATCAAGTAGGACTACTCTTCATAACCTCTTCCTATCATTCTTGATGCCTTGTGTCAAAAGGCCCTTGGATGCCTTTCTGTTATATCCACATGAAGTGACAGTCAATGTGTTTTTGCAGAACTGGGTGTCTTGCTCAATGTTGTCTTTTATATTAACAACTCTACGAGGAAGAATGGAAAGACAAAATATTCCAAGCAGAGCTATAGGAGTATTATGTTGACATAGAGTACAGACAGCTGCAGTGTGTGTGCAGCAGCACTGTAATGCACACACAAAGATGCTCATTATGTGACAGGGTTGCGTTCTGATGATA